TACAATGACGTCATTCATCATGCTAACTAGTATCTACGTCATCATCATAATCATCATCACCGTCATCATCATCATCACCATCATCATCATCATCGTCGTCAGTAGCACCAGTGCAATCATTATCAACATCGCTTCCATCATCATCACCATCATCAGTGCCATCATTCACGTATAAACACGTTTATTATGCATACCCCTCAAGTATTTGAATAAAATTTGTAAAACCTTTTTCAATATCATCACCATAAGTTTTATGATTCATCGTCATCAACAAAATCTTTTGTCATCATCATCATCATCATCATCATCATCAACAACAACATCTTTCGTTATCATTATCATCATCATCATCATCATCATCATCATCATCATCATCAACATCATCATTTCATCATCACCACATTCAACATCTTTCGTTATCATCCTCATCGTCGTCGTCATCATCATCACAATCGTGACCTACCTGTTGAGGGGACTCCCATTTTTGGTTGAAGTCTTCCCGGGCTTGAGCCAAGAACGCCTTAACTTTTAATAATGATTAATAATTTGTTATAATTAATAAAATTATTAATAAAATTATTATCACCTACATCATCATCAGTATCATCATTCATTCATCTGTATCATCATTCTAATCATTATTTTCATCAAATATTGCCGTTGCGAAGTTTAACACGCAAAATATTTTGCCATTGGAGAATAGACATGTTTGAACGTGTATATGTATGTGTGTATGTGTGTGTGCGTATGTATGTATGTATGTATGTATGTATGCATGTATGTATGTATGTGTGTGTGTATGTATGTATGTATGTATGTATGTGTGTGTGTATGTATGTATGTATGTATGTATGTATGTATGTATGTATGTATGTATGTATGTATGTATGTATGTATGTATGTATGTATGTATGTATGTATGTATGTATGTATATATGTATATATGTATGTATGTATGTGTACGTGTGTGTATGTGTGCGTGGTGTTAGCTTTGCAAACATGCATGTTTGCTTGAAAGAGAAAAAAAATTAATTTAATATACATAAATCGTAGTGTGTGCTCGGGTTCGTTTGAAATACAGTTTGCTTGTATGTTTGTGTTTACGTGAATATGTACATATGTGTTAATATATTTATACCTGTGAGTGTATGTTTGTGTGTATGTGTGCGTGTATGTGTGCGTGTATGTGTGCGTGAAGCAGGTTGTTACTTTAAACTGATATGCTTTGATGTTATGATGTTTTGTGATTTTTATGCAATGGTAATAGTGATGACAACGACGACGCTAACAACAACAACAACAATAACAATAACTGATATTAATAACATCAACAACAACAATAACTAATATTAATAACAATAATAACAACAATAATCATGATAAATTTTGACAGCGGTCTCATTTTAATAATCACACGTA